CCAAATAATATTAATGTAAATATATCGTCAATCTTATTAATAAATCTGTAAGAGAAAGTTTGAAACAATGTCAAGAAATATTAGTTTTTATTATTTGTGTTATAATATTCAAGTTAAAAGAATTCTATCATTTTACATCACGTTACAGAAAATGTTTCAATGTGAATTGTAAATGGTTCGTTTTACTTAAATTATCTTGGATATTGCGTACACTTGAACACTTTATTTTAATTGTATAAGTAATAAAAAATTTTCAAACTTTGATAAAAACAGTTCAATGACATATTAAGTTTTCTATAATTCTTTAGCTAAAAATAAAAAGAGACGAAAAAATTTTCAAAAATATAATATAACCTGATGAGACGTATATGATCCTGCACACTGTGCGATAGACCAATCTCGAAATTTTGAAATTTATCCAGGTGGATGATACGCATCTTGAGATTCTCCAGCTGACCGCACACGTGAAAAACTAGCATGCCTAGGAAATTGTCTATAGTAGTGTACATAGTAGCGGTCGCCATCAAACTAACACTCTGCAGGATATAAGTTATTTCGTAAATTGGACTTCGATTGCGATCATAAATATAATACGTTTGCAACGGCATTACTTTGCCAGGGTCTGTTTTATTTGTTACGTATCTTATTGAAATGCCGAAAATGGGAAGAATTACAGCCACAATAAAAGTTGTCAACATCATAAAGTATCCTACTATTATAAGCAAACGCGCTATTCGCGCGTATTTTATCATAACGTCTCTTTCTTGCATTATTTTCGGCTTTAACCAATCGTCCTTAATCATGTTTAAAAGCGGAAGAACATCTGCGATTTGTAACCTGAATTACTTATGTTATAATGAAGCTCATAGTTAAAATAGGGTACTGCTAAATACATAGAATAAGGTGTAGGAAGGTTTGTCTTGTTATTATATTGTATAATTGACCAAAATATATATACGAATATTACCTTTCTGTTTTAGCCATATAATAGAAAGTTTTATTATTGCCATCGAAAATGGTAAGGTATATTGCAGATTATCAATCGTAGACATTAAATCACCCCAAACTTTGAGCAAAGAATTTATAGTTGGAATCAAACAGAAGCAGATTGGAATGTTTAATATAAGAAGCGTACGTATATTGGATTTTAATTTGTCTTGTTTCGTTTTGTTGTTTTTCGGCCAAACGCCCAACACTGACAAGGCAATCCGATTTAATCCAACAGCCCATTTATAATCTGATTTTAGAGGGATAAATGCGAATAAAGTTTTTAATAAAATCAAGTCACTTTTTTAATTATCAATATTATGTAATTATCATGTATTTTTGTTTCTTTTTTGCATATGTTTTTTTCCTCACTTTTACTCTCTCCTTTTTTCATTTATATTTTTTCTCTTTCTCTCTTCCCTGTTTTTGTTAAGAAATGGAAGTATTTTAATTTTACGTACTTGCAAGATAAATATTCAATCTTGTTACGTTACAATAATATGTAGAAGTATAAATTACGTATAGAAAATGACATATATGCAGTATGTGTGTATGTGTAATAAAAGAATGTACTTCAGTAAGAAAATAGTTCAGTGACATTTTGTTGTGATATGTAATGTAAGACACGATAATTTTCTGTATTAACTATGATTTTTAAAGGGACAAGTATAATTTTTTATCACATTGATATGTTTACATCTTTTTTATATTTTAGCTGGTATTTTTGCAACAATTTTATTCTATAGAAATAATTTGAAATATAATTTGTTCTTTACTATACACCTGAAGAAACTCTTTCTATTGTTCTAATATATCTATATAAGTTAATCAAGGAAAAAACGGACACCTGCGTATGCTGAATACTTTGAAACGTCCATACCGGCGCTTGCGAAGGGACTAAGTTTCCCTTTTTCGTCTTACTGTTATTGTCGTTACGTGTGATGTACCATGCTTATAATACCACCCTACAGGTGAGCACGTCACATATTAATAATGCAACACTTGTAACGAGAATGTTGCGGTGGACGATGTTTATAGTCGGTTGGTTCATTTTGTAGTTGAGAAACTGTTTAGTGTTATGACAGTACAGAAAAGTGCACGGCGTTGATGCAGGGCCGCAATATGCTTCCGAAAATGTTTTAACTCAATGTATGCGTATGGTTGAACGAAGCGATAGGTTTTCATACACGTATTATATATTATTGTAATCAATCAATAAACACATTTTAAGTAGTAAGAAAATTTGTTTACCCAAAAATGTGGAACTAAATGTAATTATTAAAAAAGTTAAATTAAAAGAATAATTTTTAGTGTGGCATACGATTTGATCGTTTTAAAATTTGTTTGTTCTTTGTACAGAGTCGGCTTGTTCGGAAGAAATATGATTTTCCTTTCGTTTATATATTTTTTTGTTTCATTACATGTTTGTCTGGAAATTTCTTAAACCGATCCTGTGGTACCTCACTATTGATCGATCACTTCACTGAACCTGTCGTTAGCTATATGCTTCAAAGTTTTTCGAACTAAAGTTTGAAATTTCCCTCTGTTTCACTAAAGCCATTCAGCATCGAAAGCAAAACTTGAAATACAAAACAGTGGTTATAGCTGTGTGTGCATACATATACAGACTTAGAATTGTCAGTTCGTATTTATCACTAACTGTGACAGTATCACATTATCACACAAAATGCATGACAGCATGCTATGTACATACATACTATACAGCGTACTGTGTTACAATTGTTTTAAATATATTTTTGCGTTCTGTGGGTAGGTAAAATAAGGTTTGTCTTTTCTGTCTTGAATTGAAAGTATTTATGCTCGTACACTGTATACAGTATACAAAATAAAAGATGCCGACATCATAAAATATCCTAGTATCGTGAATAGATCTTCGCGCGGGTTTTATCATGACGGCTCTTTCTTGTGTTATTTTCGACTTTAGCCAATCGTCCTTAATCATGTTTAAAAGCGGAAGAACATCTGCGATCAACAAACAGAATTACGTATGTTATAAGTAAGCTTACAATTACATCAGGATACTGCTAATTAGAATAAGGTATTGTAAGGTATACTGCTAATTAGAATAAGGTATTGTAAAACAGTTCTTCTTAATATTATATTGTATATATAATTTTCACCAAAGTATATATACAAATATTACCTTTTGTCTTAGCCATACAAAAGAAAGTTTTATTAGTGCCATCAAAAATGGCAAAGTGTATTGCAGATTATAAATTGTATACATTAAATCACCCCACACTTTGAGCAAAGAATGTATAGTTGGAATGAAACTGCAACAGAGTGGAACGTTTAATATAAGATGCGTATGTATATTAGATATTAATTTGTCTTGTTTCGTTTTGTTGTTTTTCGGCCAAATGCCTAACACTCTTAAGATAATCCGATTTAATCCGACAGCCCATTCATAATCTGCTTTTAAAGAGACAGATGCGAATAAAAATTTTATCAAAATCAAATCACTCCGTTGATTATGAATATTATATAATTAATATATTTATTTTCTTTCTCTTTCTCTCCCCTTTTTGTTGAAAAATATTAGGTTTTGAAAGACAAATATTAGGTTTTGCTACATTACCATAATATGTAAAAGAATAAACTACGTACAAAGAAAATTACATATATACATGTATGTTTTGATACATGTGTAATACAAGAATGTATGTAAGATAATAGTTAAGTGACATAAATTTGTTGTAACATTATAATTTGACACACAATTATTTTCTGTATTAACAGTATTTTTTTAGAGAGACAAATGTAGCCCTTTTCTAATTGGTATGATTATATCTTTATTATATTTTAGTTAGTATTTTTGCAACGATTTTGTTCTGTAGAAAATAATTGGAAATGTAATTTGTTCTTTGTTATACACCTGAGAAAACTCTTTCTATTCCTCTAACACATTTATAAAGCTGATTAAGGAAAAGACATTTATATTAATACATCTATTTATTGCAAATTCATGACTTATTGATTTGTGAGTAATAAATTTAATTGTGTTTGTCATGTATAAAAAAGGCGTGTTAAGTCGATAGTCGAAAGTCTCAAAGTATTGCTGTCGCTTTTTCGAGATGCTGATTGGTTGTCCCGCTTGTGCGATACGACATGCTTCAATCGTGTTATTTGCAGCTGGCAAACCTTGCGAATTTTTAAAGAAAGCAAATGGCGCACGCGAAGCGCGCGCTTGTGTTGTCTAGTTAATAAAATAATATATTAATCGTTACTTCCCGATATGAATATTAAAATCAGATTTTTATCTGATATTTTTGTAGATTTCTATTTTTATTCCCGATGTGCCAGCAAAACCGATATATAACCGCCTGATGTCTTTAACAACTGAAAATATTTAAATAATTGTAAATGTATGTTGGCGTATAAAATTAACTTAATCAATGATGTAAATATGTATGTACATTTGCTTCTTCTCTATATGTATATTATTAATTTATAAAATGCAGTCTGGCAATTAAATAATTAGTTTAATTCCTGCAATATTTTTAATATTAATAACATTTCAGATACTACTTTATATATTCGACTTATGTAAAAGCATATTTTACTCATTTCAGATAATTGTATAATACTTCAAATATTTTAATTTATCGTAGAAAATGTTATGTCAATTATAATTTACATTCGATAAAAACGAGAAAACTTATAGATAATATAGCTTCCTTATATTTTGTGTAACAATACATTTAGTTTTGTCATTTTATATATTTATATTGTTCACGTCAAGAATATATGAAATGGTAAAGAAAGAGTAACTTGAGAGTACTGTCTTAGCTTACGTTACAAAACGTGGACATGGTCATCGGGAACAGTTTTCCAGCGCTAATGCATAACGATTTGTTGGCCCGCATCATTATGATCATTATGTTCCTTGCTTTCGTTGGTTCCAACTTGTACCATTTGTATTTGCATGCTGCTTCGTAAATTCCATCACACTTAACAAATAGTTATACGTAAAACTTTTAATTAGATCACATATATGTATACTAGAGCAAGTATCTTAATTATCAGACTGTGTAAGTTATATTTTGTGTATAAGTTAACGAACAAAGTACTGTACTTGTGCAACCAAAATTTCTCCTACAGCGCAGTAGAGACATGTGTGTGCAAATGTACTGACACCCGCTGTCATAAT